GATTTGCCAGAGTTGTTTAGTCTGTAGGCCGACGCTTTTTCTCTTTTCTTCGGTTATCCTTGTCTTTAGTTGTCTGCTGGTTTGTCCAATGTATTCTGCGGGGCTTTCTTTACAACTGGCTTTGTAAATGCAGTTGTTTTGATCTTGCAATTCGACCGGATCTTTGGCTTTTATGAGATGACATTTCAGAGTGTTGTCAACTCGAAAGAAAGTTTGTATGTAGAAATCACCGAGAATCTTTCTGATTACGTATGAAGTGCCTGATCTATCTGAAATGCCGAAAGAGGCTACACGGTCTTTTCTATCATTAGGTTGTATCACTGGTTTGTTGGCTTCTAGCTGGCATCTTACGAGGAGTGGTGGATAATTATTGTCTCGTAGCACTTTTTTGAGGCGTTTCATTTCTATTTGGCGGTTATTGTCTTCATCACCAAGCTTCTTGACTCTGACAGCCAGAGAGAAAATAAGAGTCCGTTTTACACATCGTGGATGAGCTGATTCAAAATTTAAAAGTTTATCCGAATGTGTCGCTTTTATGTGAACGCTGGTGGTAAATTTGCGTGAGTTGTTCACCCTGAGGTGACAGACTAGAAGACTGATGACTCTGTTCATATCCTCTGACTGCATTGTGAAATTGATGGAGCTGCACTGTTTGTTTAGACAATCAAGAAAGGCGTGTGAGTATTGTGACTTAATAATGAAAAACGTATCGTCTACGTATCTTACGTATAAACGTGGTGGTATGTCAAAACTAGAGAGTGCCTTTAATTTGATTAAATGCAAAAAGAGGCTGGGAGATCTCATGGCAACACCGTTGTTTTTTTGTAAAAATTGTGTTTGATAGTAAATAACGCTAACATTAGACAATTTCCTACAGCAGTAACAATTTCTGACGGGATTAAAGAATTTCTTTCTCCTAGTGGGACATCAGACATCAGCAAAGAATGTCGAAAAAACAAACTCTCTTTTTCAGGGACACTTGTGTACAAAGAAACCACATCAAAGCGGACGGCAACCTCGTCACTTTCAAGTTCAACGTTCTGCAGAATCCGAGCAAACAAATGCATCACTGATGTGGCTTACCACTATTTTTAATACAGTTTTACAGACTGCTGGGGTATCTTGCTAATTTGTAAGTTCCCCACGGTGTGCAGTCTACAATGGGGCAAATGGGTAAGTCCGGTTTATGTAAGTGCACTCTTTAGGTCATACCCGAAGGTCACACTATAGACTACAACAACCTGGAAATATTCCAATTCGGATTTCGAACATGCACTGAACGCTTGAATGCCGAAGCTCTGGCCATTAAC